AAAATCAGCCTCTATTATATATAATGAAAAGACTGAAGTGAATTGTCAGTAATTTAGGAGACAGAAGGGGTTTGATTTTTAAAAGATGACAATAATTTTCTAAGAAATAAATTTTTTTAATGTGAGTTTTTTAGGCTAAGTTTATCTACTTCTGTTTGAATAGATAAATTTGCTTATTTATCCCACTACTCCAATACATAAATTTGTGAATTTATTAAAATAATTAAATTTCTGAGTAGCTATTATGCTGCCCTCCCTGAAACCATCATATACAAACTGCCCTCCACCACGTCAGCTTGTCCTCTTCACGGCCTCTGCATTATCAGCTCATGCTTGAGTTGCGTACTCTGGGCCAGTGTGTATTCTCATGTTTGATCACGAGGAGCTGCTTTTACTGTTAAACTCCATTTACCATATTTTTCTTGATCTCTGCTTCTAATTATGAAAAGTATACTGTCTTACAACGTTTTTGGTCCTTTCTTTCCTTTCAAAGCCTGTCAAGACTCCTCAGGGTTAAAGAGCCAGAAAATACTTAACATGTCTTGTGGGAATGATGAGGTTATGGGACGGAGCATTTCCAGAACTGAGGATGTGGCTGTTCCCCAAGCTGCCTTCAGAATGTGGGTTAGAAGAAGGGTGGAATTTGGCAGCTAGAAATCATTGCTCACTTCTCTAAGGACTAGACTTGGCTGGGTCACAGTGTCTTTGCCTCTGATTTCTCATTGGTCTAGGCTACCTCTGAGGGTGGGAAGGAAAATAAAGTGTGCAGGACTTAAAGTACTAAACAGGACTGAAATGTGACGATGTAATATGCATGTTTTGAGTGTCCACTATGTACCAGGAACTATGCAAAGCACTAAACAATTAGAAAGTTAAAAAAGACCGACAAACTCCAATCAAGGAGTCCTCACATTTTTTGAAGGGGGAGCAAGGTTAAGCAAGTATATACATGATTAACTGTATTCTAAGATAAATAAGTGAATTTAGAAATTGTTGACTAAATACCTTTGAACACCAAAACTCAACCAAATATGGAAGCTCATTCTAGAATACTGTTGAACTGAAAATAATTTTATAATTATTCTTAGAAAGCTGATTACTGGGGGTTGAACACTTCAGGTGAAATTCTTACCCAGCCCGTGTCCCAATGGTAGAAGCTCAGACCAGTGCTGAAATAGCCAGAGTGTTGAAATCAACAGTGTGATGTGGCTGAGAAATTACCATGGCTGGTTAGATTGCCATTTATTTTTAAAATAAAAAAACACTCCATCGCCATCAAGAAGTTTGTGCTTTTAGCATTCTACTAAGTATATGTTTGGCAGTGGGTTCTAATTTCCACTGGCTTGTTTTTCCAGGGTCCTCGTGGTCCTCAGGGAATTGATGGAGAACCAGGTGTTCCTGGTCAACCTGGTGCTCCAGGGCCTCCTGGACATCCGTCCCACCCAGGACCCGATGGTGTGAGCAGGGTAAGTTGTGTGCATTGTTGAATGTTATGTGTAGGTAATGCATTATCACATTTACTGCCATGTGAGTTGTATTTAACTCACACTAGTTTTGAGCCCAGGGCCTCGTGAAGCATATGTAACTCACACATCTCTTTACCTTGGGAGCCACATGAACTATTTTTCAAGTTGCATATAATTCACACACAGAAAACAATAAAATATAACAAATTGTTCATTAAATTAGAAAGGATCATTTTATTTTCAAAGTTTTTATTCTATTTTCGTAATAAAATAGTTTTTATTCTATTTTCCTTGACTCCAAGGAAAAAATTTTTTTTCTAGT